GTAGAATGGAAATATCTAAAGAAAATGTTTAATGCTTTGCAGTCATTATAGTTTGTATTACTTTTAGGTTGGATGTGCACCCATCAAAGAAGATAAAGAAGCTTTCTTCTTGGTGCCTGTTCATGCAAAGGAAGTGAGAGATCTTGACTTTGCTAATGATGCCAGTGAGGTTTTAGCGAAGCATGCAAAGAAACTTGAGAAAGGAGCTATTCCTCAAGCAGAAAGAAGGTAAATTGTTCGAACTGGGATGAAATCATTAGTATAATATCTTCAGTCATATAATCAGTATTATTTTCATAGGAGACAGTTACAAATGAGATCATTTTGTTTATACTGCAACATATGACCACTGATTATATGAAAATTAAGGTACTGTTGGAAGCTTGGTTCATATTTAAATCATTGTGAATGATGAAAGATTTTTTTTTCTTAGTTTTAGTGAAACATACCATTTAACAATGATATATATATTTGTTTTTCAGATCCCTGATATTTTTGCTACTTGACCTTGTATATTTTATTGCTGAGAAGGAGCATGAACAAAACAAAAGTGAAAATTTAGCTTTGGGATTAGATGTGACAAATCCTAATAGGGATCGACAAAAACTACTCAGAGAACAAGACATTTTAAAGCAGGTATGTTGGTTTGTTGAGTGCCAGCTAGTGTTAAAAACAGGTTGCAATTTTTAGTCTGAAAAAGGATTTCATTTCTGTATAAAGTGAATTAAGTGGTGCATTGCAGTTACATATTTTAGATTTCCATAAATCTATTTAGTGGTAAATGATGAGTCATCAAATTGCATAGGGATGTTAGAAAAGCAGCATGGTTGTTTTGTAAATTTTGAATAAGGTAGGTACATGATTTTGGAAATATATTCATCAATGAAATTAATCCACTGTAAATCTTTTTGTGCAGATTTTCAAGATTCTTCAGGCACCTTTTACGGAGACACAAGGTGGGGATGGTCCACTCCTAAGAATTGATGAGTTGAATGATCCACGGAATGCTGCTTATAAGACAATCTTCCGTCTCTGCTATAGACTTTTAAAACTTGCTCAACAAGGATACAGAAAGAATCAGGTATTGATATGGTTGTGAAAAAGTAAACAAATTCACTAGATTTTTTGTATTATCTGAGAGAGATGTCTATCTGTGAAGTGTTTACTAAACTATTGTGGCTAGTGAAAATTATAACGATCATGATGGTTAATGTTGATAATATTGACTGGGTAGCTTTCTGAAACTCTTTTGAAAAAGTAAAGCAATAGCCATTATTATTTAAAGTACTTTGTAATCTGTAGATTTTTGATTTGCACAGCTTTGAGTTATATACTTTTTAGACTTTTCCCATCAGTATATTATAAACATACTGTTAATGCAGAGATTTATATGTTTTTCTGAAACTTGCAGGAATATATTGCTCAGCACTTTGGTTTCATGCAAAAGCAAATTGGCATTGATGTCTTGGCAGAAGAAACAATTACAGCTTTACTTCACAATAACCGCAAACTGTTAGAAATACACATTACTGCTGCAGAAATAGAAACGTTTGTTGGACTGGTGCGAAAGAATATGCATAAGTGGGACTGGAGATTTTTGGATTATTTGAAGGTAAGTATTCAGTTATTTGCTGTAAATGGAAAACTTTACAAGCACTCCATGATACATTCATGGATAAGTTTTATAATGAATTATTTTTATACCGTACAACACTTCTTATCTTTATAGATAGATTTTACATATATATATATATTTTTTCAGGTGTTGTGCATCTCTAATAACCAAGCTATTGCTCGAACACAAGAATTGATTTGCAAAAGCGTGTTCAGCGAGAAGAATAAAGACATTCTTATTGAAACCAGGTGAATAAGAATGTTGTAATTATTTAAAAGTTAATCTGAAAAAGGAGGAAAATAAATTATCTTTCAGAAGCTTTGTTTTGTAAAATGTTTATGGCTGAGAAACTTTAGAGTTCATAATGAATCCTGAGGGTTGATTGTCCAATGTCTACATAGGAATAGAAATTGTAACGGTAACTAGAAATCTCACAAGAACCCCTCCAAGCCACTTCTTGAATTTAAGTGCTTAACAATGGGTACCCTTTTCATGTGTCATGATTTTGATGGTTACATTTAGAAACAGGGGGATCTTTCCTTTATTCCAACCAGTAGGGAGGGAATTTTTATGTTCAGTGCAGTCAAGTAAACAGAAATGTTTTTTCTAATACTAATATATATATTTTTTTTCTATTCCTTCTTTTTTATCTTTATTTCTGCCTGCCTTCTTTCTCATCTCCCCTCCTTTCTATCTCTCTACATTCTTTTAATGATACTGAATTGCTAAACTTTCCCTCAGACTTATTGAAGCGGATATTGAAGTTGAGGTGGATGTTGAGGGCAATGGTCCTATGCTTGCCATTGAACAGGATGAAGAAGTTGTGTTAACTTGGAATAATGGAGAGGTAAGCAGTGTCATATGTTGCTACTTTTGAATGATTGAGAATATGAAATGTAATGTTTGTTGCTTTTCTCTGATAACTTCTGTACTCCTTCATGATTGTGGTAGTTTAATGTTGAACTGACTTACTCTGGATGATACCCCTCATTTCATGGGTAAACCGTTACTAATGCAGGTGAGTTCTTTCACATCATGTGGGGTTGAGCTGTCTTTTTGTTTGCTTTTTTGGCCCTGACTTTCGATCACAGAGGAGAAACAGCTGGTCAAAAGTAGGCATAAAGAATCTATTAAGAGTCATTTCCTTAACTCATATATGCCACAGCCAAGAGAAGGGAGTGCAGATCAGATATAATTTCCTCTTCTAATTTTTCCCTCCGTTTTCCCTCAGTTTTCCCAATATGAGTTGGTTAATAGTAGTGAAGACAGTAGTCATTAATTTTAGATATATGAAGTAAATATGACAATGCATGGAAGTTTTTAATGCAGATATATTTTCCAAATTTCAGTGCTCAAAGTCCATAGAGGAGCTGGCAAGCCGAGCCAATATGGGTGACTCAGATGGTGGCGAGGACAAGCTCATATTGGAATATTACAGACACATGCTGGATCTCTTCTCCAACATGTGCCTTGATAGACAGTACCTAGCAATAAAACCCCTGTCACCTTTACTCAAGATTAACCTTATGCTCAAGTAAGAAACAGAAATGCTAGCAATCTTTATGAAGTGAAGATACTGTAGATTTTAGATGAATTCTTGTGTCACCATGTTTTATCAGTTTTTTGGCTTGAATTAGATATGAAAGTCATTGTTGCTAGTGTGATACTTTCATTTAGGAAACAATTTTTGTTATATACAAGTATACACAGTTTAGAAATAACAGTGTAATTCCTGCCTTTCTTCTACAGATGTATGGAGATGGAGATTCTTCCATATGATCTACGTGCATCTTTCTGCCGTCTAATGTTACACATGCATGTAGATTGTGAACCCCAGGAAATGGTCACACCAGTCAAATATGCTAGGCTGTGGTCAGAAATTCAGCCACAGATGTCCATTGCCGAGTGAGTATTGTTTAAAACGTAGTAATCAAGAGTGATCTGTACTTCTGTGTGTTTGTGTTGTGGAGACAGTTATTTGAAAAGCTAAATACTATTTGTTATATGGATATGTTTTGTATTTTTTACAGGTATAGGAATTCATGAATGATCTGTTACTATAAGGTCATTCTTTGTCCTTTTGTAAATTTGAATTAGAACAATGTTTAGTAAAAATATTTTTTTGATAATAACCAGACATACTTTGTTTCCCTTTTTTCATAACTGATAACAAATTTCAGACCTTTTCAGTTTAATTTTGTAAAACGTATTTGACTCTGTACACCTGATAAAATAATTCTAGAGGAATAACTTTACTAGTGTATGTATTAATTATTTTCCAGTCATGTGTATTTTTTCCCTTTAGTGTTAGATTGTTGGTCTCTTTTCTTATAAACATTGAAGTGAATCAGTTAAATGGTGATTAAAATATTTACTCAGAAAAAAAAAAAATAGAATGAGTCATTTGAAATATTCTATTTGAAAATAAAGAAATACTTTGTCCATATTAATTTGGTAATTAGTAATTGGAAAAGAAACAATAGATGGTGACAGTTACATGTAAAATTGTCAATTATGCAACATACTTAGCAATGGAGACACCTGTGAAGTATAAAGGACATCATAATTGACAAGTATGATAAAAAAAAGGAATGGGGGAAAAAGATATATACCTGGACTTTTTATATTTGAAACTTTTTAATGAGTGGCATACATATCCCTCTATGTCATATTTTGTAATTCTTGTCAGTCATCATCATATCAAAAACAGCCTTTTCTGGCCTGTGTTTGAAGGTGAAATGCATGTCATTTAGAAGCACCTGGTGGTGGTCTTATTAGTATTAGAATTTATGATTACTTCACTGTATAACCGACTAATCATGCAACACAGCCTGGAAACTCTCTTTGTTAGTGTTATATATCATCTCATTACATGGTAGACTTTAGACACATCAGTGTTGACAGCAGGGGGTGACGTCCCTTGGATGATTACCATGATTTTATGTATGTATATATAAAAAAGTTACTTTCAGCTCTTGTCATATCATGAGGTCAGTAGGACAAGTGTCAATTAATTTCTTTTAATCCCAGGTTTTTGTTTAATTGATTTTGATTGTGATAATGAAGTTTTATTATGAATGTTGTACTATCTGATTCATGCTGCAGGACAAAGCCATTGCGGTGGTAATACTTACATCCAAGTTTTCTTGCTTGAAATATCTAAAGATATTGCATGATAAAAGATATTGCATGTTGATAATATATAGTCTTCTTAAAATCTAAAAATAATACTGGATTTTAAAATTATTTAGCTTAACCTAAATAACATTGTTTTTTGATAAATTGGTCTTGATAATAATAAAATTTGATAAAGATAAGATTTACAGTGGAACTATACATATTTATACTTCATAGTTGCTCTACTCTCTTAGTAACATATACTCTTAACTCTTATTGTTCTATCTAGTATATTTACTTTGGCCTTTTGTGGCTTAGAAGTAGAGTTGATATTCAGGATAATATTTAAAGTTCTTGTGGTTTTCTTTTTGCAGTATACATAACTGTCATCGAGCAAGGGTGTTGGAAACATCAATGTGGCTTGATGTAATCTTGGGTGGGTGTGCACCTGCTAGCACAATGGTCAAGAAAAGCATGTTTTAAGAAATTGGTCTGAATATGTGATTTTTAAAATTATCTATATGTATATATGCATTACACGCACACGCACACACACACGCACACACACACACACACACACACACACACACACACACACACACACACACACACACACACACACACACACACACACACACACACACACATACACACACACACATACACACACACATACACACACACACACACACACACACACACACACACACACACACACACACACACACACACACACACACACACACACACACACACACACACACACACACATACACACACACATACACACACACATACACACACACATACACACACACACACACACACACACACACACACACACACACACACACACACACACACACACACACACACACACACACACACACACACACACATACATACACACATACATACACACACACATACACACATACATGTATACATGCGTGCATGCATGCATACATACATACATACATACATACATACATACATACATACATACATACATACATACATACATACATAAATAAATACATGAACACATACATACACACACATACACCTACATACATATACTCACATACATCCACACACATACATCCACACACATACATCCACACACATACATCCACACATACACACATGCACATACACACACGCACATACACACATGCACACACACACACACACACATGCACACACACACACACTCATGCACACACGTGCATGCACACGCACGCACACGAACACACGAACACACGAACACACGAACACACGAACACACGAACACACGAACACACGAACACACACACACACACACACACACACACACACACACACACACACACACACACACACACACACACACACACACACACACATATATACAGTAAGTCCCCAACTTAAGAACATAATGGGGACCGAGAGGCTGTTTGTAAGTTGATTTGTTTGTATGTCGAAAGTTGAGTCTCTATTACCTTTTTTCCCATTGTTTTAAAGTTTTGTTTACATTAAGAATACCTGTAAATAAATCCCAATAAGTATGACATACCTTATACAATACCAGACTCTTGAACTATATTCGTGCCTGGGAAATTTGAAGTTTGCTAGCATCTTTCAAACAATTTTTTGGACTTTAGTATTTAAAAAATTTTGTTTGTATGTATGGAATGTTCATAAGTAGAATGTTCGTAAGTAGGGGACTATCTGTATATATAATATACATATCCATATACATATACATATACACACACATGTATATAGATGCACATCTTGAAAATTTTGGCAGATGCTGTCTCCTTTGAGTTGTGGTCTTGGAATAGGTGGAAGGGGCTGAACGCTATGTCAAGTAACAGCACTGCATTGCACTTTTAATATGGTGTGAATATGTAATAATATTTTGATTGTTGGGGGTACAACATTTTTAAAAATTACTGTTTGTGCTTCCAGTCTTGCTTTGTGAAGTGTCGTGATGTCATGTTCAAGTTCATGAATTATTTTCGTTCTTTGCAGATGAAAGAAGCATTATGTTTAATTTGTCTCTTTTAAGTTATGTATTAAAATATTGTGCAGGAATTTATTTCACATATTTACTTAATATTTTAAAGTAAGTTTACTGCAAAAGAAAATCAAAATGGTATATAACATTAATCTTTATTGTTAATTCGAAGCACTTTTACATTTTTGTGTGGCTAACGTCATGTGATACAGAGTTATTTACAGGTGCTGACAATAATATAGAATAAAAGCATCCATCTAAATCAGTTTAAACTTTGATTACATAAAACTTCAATTTTAGACTTTCTATGTATTTATTAAGTGCACTATATATTTATAAAAGATAGAAGCTCTAAAGGTTTAATATAACAAGACCATTTGTAACCCTAACAACTGCATTTGTTTTATTTAATTGATTAATATTCAGCCTGTTGGTACCAGCTAATTGCTCTGTCCACTGAATTTTGTTTACACATTGATGGCTCCACAGCTATCAACTTACCATGGTGTCAGTAGGCTTACCTGACCCCACTAATAACTTCATTGCTTGAAACTTTTCTTAAAGTTACTTTTTCCAATTCCATTTATATTGGTACTTTTGGTATAATTATTATTGACATTAGATTATTATAATGTCATAATCAATACCAATAGCAATAAAAATGTTTAAAAGAAAATCAAGAAAAAAGATAGACAGGTAAGATCAGGTAGGACGAGTAATTAACTCTGTAATGAAGACTAAGCTCATGTGGAACCATCTATGTGTAAACAGAATTAGTAAACTAAAATCACAGTGGACATGGCATGCCATGCTGGCATCAGAGGGTTAAAATATTATTTGTATTATGGGAGATATGTTGTCATTTATCACAGCTTGATTATTTGGGCAGTATTAATGACTTCAGTGTAAGAGTGTGGTAAGAAAATGAAGGAACATTAAAAATTCTGAATAATAACATTATTGATAGAGATCTTGCCTTTATTCCTATTGTAGAGATACAAGTGACTTTGTTCTCTTTTCTTCACATTTTCTGTCATGGAATGGCCTGTGCACATTTTTCACCTAATTATTATGCTGTTGCTTAAATATGTTTTTGCTGCAGACATTGTATGTTACAACTTAGTGAACATCTTTACATATATATGATTGCTATTTTTGTACTTTTATCTAATGGTGATCATTACCTGCTCTGGATGATGGATGCAGATGATTTAGGAGAGTGAGAGTGTGTTAGAGCAAGTCCTTATGAGGAAAAGTTATTGCCTGGGGTAACAAAGTTTGATATTAGTTGGAATCTATTTTATCCAGATCTTAACCCATTGGTTATGGATAGTATTACATACAAGCTGTGCCACTGTAATTTTAGTTTATTAGTTTATTAGATGTCAACTATCATGTAGCACTAGTGAAGCCATCTGTGTGCAACAAAATTCACAAAAAACTACTGTGGACAGTACATAACTCTATAATGGATGGGTCAACCCTTTCTGCTAAGTACATGTACTGTCCACTTGGTTTTGTTCTGTGAATTTTATTTACATATAGATTGCTCTACATTAACAGTCGCCAAGGACTGTTATTATTATTATTGATGCTATAATTATTAGTGTTATTAAAATACTAATAGCACATAAAAAGAACAAGGAAAATGATAAATAGGTGAGATGGGTAGGACTAACAATTGTTTCTTATTTGATTAAGCGCTTGTCAACAGAATTTATAAAATAAAATGATAGTGGATATGATATGTTTAAGAAAGGTCATGATCATCTATGAATTTGCAATTATTCCTGAAACTATTGAGGATCTTTTGACACTGTATTAAGGTATTTTGTTACAGTGAACATGGAGGAATTTCTGTTTTCTCAATTAATAGTAAGGGTACAATCCTAATGAAATATAAAGATATTACCAACAAAAATGTATTTTAGTTGGTATTTGTTATCTAGGGCAAATTAAGTGTTCTGACTGATATGAAGATGGTTTGCTATTTGGCGATATGTTGTTTTTAAGTATTTAGTGAGTTATATATTTATTTATATATTTTACAAGTACAAAGGAAATGAAGATTTTATGTAGAAGTTTACAGTCTCATAACCTCCAGAACTACACTACCTTAGGTTATGTACATCCCATTTATAACATTGAACTTGAAGGATCATTAGTGAGACTTGTTGTCGTCTTTGTAGCTATGACAAGCATGCAGCCCTTCATAGTGCTGAGGCTGCAGAGACTACATTCAGAGAAGTCATCCTCTTTGTGGAGGAATACCTCTGTAATGTAGTGGACAAGATGTGGAGCTTTTCTGATCCTGAACAGAATAAGCTCACATATGAGGTATGTTTTTTTTTTAATATTTCCTTTGATTGGAATTTAGCTTTATTTTTTGTTTGTTATAGCAGTAGATGATTATGTTACTATAAGGTTAACTTCATAACTTGGAAAGTTAAGAATGTTATATTGATTATAATGCAGGTAGAAAGTTTTTTATGGTAATTTAAACATTATATTATGAATTTTTAATAAGAGAATACAATCAGAAATATTAATTATTCTAGGTTGTGCATCTTGCAAGGTACCTTATCTACTTTGGATTCTACAGCTTCAATGAACTGTTGAGGCTCACCAAGACTCTACTGTCAATTTTAGATTGTTCATTTGACAGCGATACAAAATATTTTCCCAACAACATTCCTGCTGGAAGGATAAGCGGTAAGTGTAATTATTAATTCCAGATGCTGAGCCATGCTGGGTGATAGATGGTCCTCTGGCTAATGTGCTATTGTGTTAGCTTAATTCAATGCTACTGGGGAAAATGAATAAAAAATGGGGAAATGCTGTGCCCATTTTCTATATTTTTTGTGAAATGTCTTGGCACATTGATGGCTCTGCTAGTACTTAGCCACAAAGGAGTCAATTAGTAGACCTTGTGACCTTGCCTGATTTGAATTGGTGGAAAAAATGTATTTTTTACTAGTGTTATGAATATCAGGGGTGTTATTTTTATTATAAACATTATAATTGCTTTAATTTTATGAACATTAGTAACAGCAAAATAAGATAACCTAAAATATTTTCATAAATCAAAGAAAAGGGTAAACAGGCAAGAGCGGCAGTACATAATTGGCTCATTGGTGACTTAGTACAAGTGTAGCCATCTATATGTAAAAACAATCAAACAAGTAACTCACAGTGGGCATAGCATTGGGTTAAAGTGTTGACTGGTTGAAGTGGTAATTTTCCACTGTTGCTGATATTTGTCTTAT